TGGAGAGGGGGGAGGCGGAGACGGCGGTGGCGGTGAAGGTGATGGAGGAGGAGATGGCGGTGGTGGTGGAGGTGGCGATGGAGGCGGTGGGGGAGTTTGGGAAGGTGTGGGTGGTGAGAGAATTGGAGATGGAAGAGGGGGAGGAGGTGATAGAGATGGTGGCGGCGGTGATAGTGATGGCGGAGATATAGACGGCGGTGGTGGCGAAACAGCTGGTGGAGGAGATAGTGCGGGCGGCGACGGCGGCAGTGAAGGCGGTGGGGGTACGAACGGAGCGCATCCGAAGGAGTTGCAATCCACCGGCAGACGCCGGAATGCCGCACATTGCTGCGGAGTTCGCTGTACCGGGCGTCCAGGCAAGCAGTTTCTCCGGTCATCAAACGACGGAACCCTAAGGCACACCGGCGGCTCTCCGGTGAAGAAGTTGTAGGAGAAGGTAAAGTTCTTGAGCCTTGGAAGCCTGCAGATTGACGCTGGGATCTGACCAGAAAGAAGATTATGAGCGACATCAAGCTGCTCCAAGCTTCGCATCCTCCCGATTTCATTCGGCAACGGGCCGACAAGTTCGTTGAAGCTAACATCCAAAACCGTCAGCTTCCTTAGAAGTCCGATCTCCTTAGGAAAGCAAGATTTGAGTCCATTGTTCATGAGGATAATCTCGTTTAGGGTTTTCGACATGTTACCGATGCTCGCCGGCAGGCATCCCCCGAATCTATTATTAGCGAGGACGATCACCGACACCGGAGAATTCCCGATGTTATTAGGAATACTGAAGCGGAACCGGTTGCTATTAATGAAGATAGCATCAAGATCCTTGTCGAATAGCTCGGACGGAACCGGACCCTCGAATTCATTAAAACGAAGATCGAGAAACTTGAGTGACGGAAGGCGAAGAACAACATCAGGAAACTTGCCGGCGAAGCGATTGTTGCTGAGATCGAGCTCGAAAAGCAGGCGAAGGCGATCGAATCGGTGAGGAATGGTGCCGCAGAAGCGATTCGAGTTGATGTGGAAAAGGGCGAGGTCGGTGAGTAAACCTAGCTCTTCCGGAAGGAATCCGGCGATGTCGGCGTGGTTGATATCAATGCCGGCGACGACAATAAGGCTGCTGTTCGACGGCAGCGGGGCGCAGAATACACCCTTGTAGGCACAGACATTGGATCCGACCCAAGTTCCGGTCAGGTTCGTCGGATCCGAGAAGATCGCCTGCTTCCATGCCTGGAGAGCAATGTAGGCGTTACGGAGGTGGGAATTTGGGAAGGTTAGGGATGGATCGACGGTGACCTTCTCTCCGCGGTCACCGAACTCATCGCGGTAGTAAAGGAGCTGCCGCTGCTGGATGGACACTGCGTCCTGCAAGGTCAGGCCGCCGCCGGAGACTCCACCGGCGGCGAGGAAGAAGAAGAAGGGGAGGATGAGATGAGAGAGAAGTTGTATCGCACCAGTCTTCATCTCATCCTTGAGGTGAGGGAGACAAAGGGTTGGGGGAAGGGAAGGGTTTTTTTAGGGAGAGAAACGGAGAAGGTTAGAGAGGGAGAGAGTGAGACAGCGCGCAAACACAGCTAAACCACAGCTATGGGGGATGAGAGAGAGACGTTAGTGATAGAAAGAGAAATATATGCTTTCGTTGTTCGCAACTGACCTGCTTGCCATTAATGTAGGCTTATACTTGTCTTATCGTTAAAATTTATCCAATTTTGGATTGCTGCGCGTTGCGGCAATTTACGGTTCGATCCACCATTTATTTTTTTGATTAATTTTTTACTGTTTTTTCTAATTTTAATTTATGTAATGTGTATGATGATTAAAAGGGCTTTTTCGGAAAACATATATAAATTACTAATGTTATATTATTAAATATCAATTATTATTTGATGAATATTTGCAGTGCAATATAAATAGATTGATTAATTGATTTGGGTTCCAATATGACTTATCGAGATAGGTATTGTATTGGCTACGTAGCTTGTGTTAGAAATCGAACGAGAAAGAAGACCTTCTCAAAACCCCCCATCGTGTGAACCCTCTATCATTACCCCTTGGCCTCCAAGGAATAGTTTGGAATGAGTGCAAAAGATATATTATTAGAATACATGCCCTCTTCCTTTGTATTGGCTATTGTCCCCTATTGCATTTATAGAAAAAAAAAAACAAAATTATTTGTAAAATGTCGAAATTGTCTTTAATACTTGTGGGTGTTGACTTGCCTTCAATAGTCAGTCTTGGATGATTCAACTCTTAGCGCATTCTAGACAAAGCTTCTCTGCATCTTGTGCCCTTTGAGTTGTCATCATCTGGGTTGGTCTGCTCCCATGGTCGATTGTCTGTCTTTCTTCCAGTTCTTTCTCTTGCCAACCTTGCTCTAAGCATTTCTATCTTGCTTGAGCGGGTCTGATCTAGTGGAACATGCCCATTTTTGGATCATTAGATCTGGGGAAATGCATTTTTGTGATACATATATCACCCTAATAAACTTGTTTATATGGAGAAAAGCTTTAATATCAAGATGTTTTAGTATATAAAACAAAACTTTTATATAATTTATGTTCAAAGTGAATTGAGTTTCTATTTGATATGAAACTTCTCATCATAAAAATTAATAAACTAATTGACGCTTTTTCTTAAAAATATATTCCCTGATCCACTACATAGAGGAGAAAATTGTATTTTTATGATTATATATATACATGCATGACTTTCAAATCTTTAATATTACAAGAAAATTAAAATTTTTATTATTTCTAAATTGTTAAATATACTCAATACACCATCAACAAATTTCCATAAGCCATCACAAATCTCCAATAAAAAATTTTTGGTCTAATGTGAGGCGCACATCACCCCTAAATTTGTGTTATGTATGTATATATGAAAATTTTGGTTGATTCTCTGGATTTGTGGGCTATGAGTTTCGGGTATGATGTGTAGGTGACCTAAGGTTTCCAATAAGATGTCTAATATGTGGGTGCACTAATCTATAGAACTACATTTATGGTACATATGAATATTTGAAGTGTTAGATCGTGGATGTATAACAGATTATATCCATAAAGAAATGGATTAAGTGATGAGTTTATTGTTGGTGTTGAAGAGTTTGTGCATGTGGCATCTGGCATTGCAGCTGCCCATTTACGTCTCAGAATGTAGGTTCTGATGTCCTTGTGTGAAACACAAGAATTAAGCGTACATAAGACTTGACGAAGTGAAGTTGGATATTTCTTGTAGCGGGTTTAAACACAATTATTCGTATCGGACTCTACATGGTGAATTTGAACTAAATATTTAATACGGTCATGCAGGAGCCTCATCAAGCACCACCAACTGTTCATGATTCTGGCAAGTATGAACAAATGATTGATGATGCAAGCATGACTCATTATATTGAGAGTGTGTCTAATGATGAACAAGAACCGAAAAGTGAAACAAAACAATTCTATGAACTATTAAAGGCTGCCCAACCATCATTGTGGGAAGGATGCAATTGGTACACAGAGTAACAACCGCCCTAAGAACGTCGAGTATCAGTATTTCATACATCTGGTGAACCATTAGATAAGCATGATACACCCTACTTAAATGGTGGAGAGCTTCAAGCAGTTACTTTGTATGTTCTACTGAACCGTAACGAAGTACAACCATTCCTACAATAAGATTAAATATAATCAAATATATTTAAGGAATGCTTTACCAATTAATTCAACCATACAAGTCACAATGATGTCTGGAGGTTATTTTCGGAGAGCTTGAATGTATAAGAAGACTCTCTTGTAAGCAAGAAAATCGAAGAAGAGTTTCCAAAATGGTTCAAATTACATGTACGTTGAAGTAACTTTTAAATTCACCGGCATGTTGTGTTGTTGTATTACACAAAGTTAAACTAACTATGCTATGAAATTCTATGAGGCTTATGATACAAGGAATAGAAAACTGATCAAGGCTTATTAGATCTTGAGAGGGGGCCTAGTTGTAAGTCAACTTTTTTTTTTTACAGTATAGTAATTTCAATTTTTTCAATTTTTTAATCAATTTTTAAATGTATCTAATGAATCATTTGTAGATTCTACCATTCCAAGCCACCTGTGAGGCAGATCACAGAGATCATCCGGAGCAAATATGATCAACCATATCTCATTTGGGTTGAGTTAAACCAAGCATGGCCATCCCTTGGAAGAGATAGAAAAATCAGCTGAATCGAATGACGAAGGGAGCCAGAGGGGCCTCACTCCACATTGGAGATTCGATCCCCTATATCGAGCACTATCGGAGGCTAGTAAGATTATATCAAAATATAAAAGCTTATAGATTTATGTAATTATGTGACTTATTTATCTGATCATGCATACTGCTCAAGGAGATTGACAAAGAGTTATTCACCGCAGAGTTGCACGTCCTTACACATCGACACTTTAGCACACTGGTGTGGGCATCCAACCACTCACGTCATGTCAATGTAAATTTTAAATTTTTGATTCTATTAATATGCCAATGAATGTTCAAAATGTCAAATAATATTTGAATTTTGTTATGCAGAAGGAGTACGAGCAACTATGGAAGCGACAAAGGGTGATGGCTAGCCAGACCTTACTGTCCGTCAGTAATGATAGCCAGTCTACCACTACGCAGTCCAATTATGACATGTGGACGCAAGTGGTAAAGAAGAACAGGTGAGTGCACGATCTCATAGCAGTAGGGATGGCGATTGAGGTCGAGTGTTCCCGAGTAGCTGTGAATGGCGCTAGCTCATTATATGCTCAACATGAGGAGCTGGACATATGTGCAACGATGATGAATGACGAGCTCTTCCAGATGCGTGAAGACCAACAACTCGTTGCAAATATCCTGACACGCTTGACAGAGAGTTTTGATCGTCAGAGCAAGCTGCACATGCATCTGGTCGAGAAGGAGGAGCGCATGATGATGATGATGATGATGATTATGTTTTTTTCGTGTTGATGATGTTCCCTTAGCATAGGAACTAACTTTTTTTTTCATTTTGTATTGTACGAACTTTCAATTTCTTGTGTTGTGAATTCTGAGCACTTTAATTCATTTAAATTTAATTTGGTCTAGCATCATTATGTCTATGTTGGATATTTCTTTTATGAGTTGTGATGATAGATAAATATCATGTTATGTTGATTGTGTTTGTTATGTACGGGTGCATGGAAATCTAGTCGTTTTATTCTTTTTTTTTTTTTTTTTGTTTCTTACAGGCCAACGTTGAATAAGAATTGAAAATTTTGATGCTAAAATCTTAAAAAAGCCAACAATATTAACTGTTGCTTGAATAAGCAAATAGCACCAAAAAAGGCCGACACTGATTAGCGTTGGATTTGACCAACCCTAACTAGTGTTTGCCCTGTTCAATGTTAATTAGCATCGGCCTTCTTCGACGCCATTGCATCATTACGGCAGCGTCACTTGCATGTTCGACAGTATTTTTTAGCGGCAACTATTTTCGACGCTAATGCAAACGCAAATTAAAATTTGACGCTAATGTTGATACAAAATAAATTAGCAACACTCATTCTAACGTAAAAAAAAAAAAAATCCAACGTTATTTCGACGCTAATCTGAATTAGCGTCTAATCTGAATTAACGCAAAAAAACAACCCCATTAACATCTTTTCCGATGCTAATCGAGCTTTTTCTTGAAGTGTCTGCAGCCAACAAATATTATCACAGCTCATGCCTTTCCCAAATTCGATGTATGCCGCCTAGAAAAGTAATCACAACTTGTATAACTCTTAACTCTAATTTATGAGACCTATTGACATTATCTTAGCTTGTGCAACTCCCACTCCGGCCTCTGCAGTACACGAACATTATCACAGCTCATGCAACTCCTTGTGGTTTATGTACGGTTCTTAACTCATGTTGTATAACTTCGCCCTCTACGAACTACGAACGTTATCACAACTCACCATTACCGATTGCACGATAATTACAACCTATGATGTCATGTAGTCCCCATCTTTGCCCCTCACGGCTCACTACTACGATCCATGTGACCAATTACGTCCTATGTGGCTCAAAGCTTCTACAACTCCTTACTTCGACTTTTGTGGTCAACCGATTTTATGACCCACATGACTAACTATTATCGTGACCTCCAACTACGGTCTAGACGATAAGCTGGCGTTATAGACATTGTTTATGACATTCACAACAGTGATGTTTGTATAGTAATTGACTACAGTCTTTGCTATCCGTTAAGAATATTATTGTTGAAATATTTTGTACATCAATTTCGTAATTTAATCTTCCCTAACTCAGATGAAGAGTCAATCTATGTACCCATTATCCAATAGTGAATTATTTTAATTGGGTCAAACCCGTGATTTCTTTTCCTTTTAAGGTTTTTATGTAAAATTTGAGATATCTCTTACATGTCAGTTTAATTAACTGAGTTTCAGGACTATTGCTACTAATTTTGTGGCTCTTATCAATGTTTTTTTGTTAGTTCTACATTTATGATGTAAAAGTAATATATATATATATATATATA